AAAAGCTCACAGACATTTGCTCCATGGTTCCAAGAAACGAGAAAAACACTGTGTGTCACTGATCATTGTCACTCATGAATTATGATTGAAAAAGCATCATTAAATGCCACCAGAAGCTTTTTCATTTTGTCTTTACTGTAATGTGAGCAGCATCATCTCAACACGTACAACTCAAACTAACCAACAGCATATTGGCTTGTGTGTGCAGTTTATGACACCTTTTACGGCACTCTTTTTATCACCATCATTATAATCTTCATCACTTTAAAAAAGTTTAAGTTATTGTGAGTATTTTTGAGCATTTTTTGTCCTTAATTGACAAAATACAGAGATGTGCTATATAATATAATATCATAGAATTACTTTATTGATCCCAAATTGGAAATTATGACTATGTGGTATATAAACTATACCACATAGTCACGCACGTGTACGGTGATAAAAGAAAAAGCTGAAGATGAACATATTGTAATACACTTTAAAGACTGTATTAAGAGTGTATAAGTCATACACTTGGACTTATACACTTTTAAACATTATGCAGTTATTCAAATATTAGCCTGGTGGATAAGGAAAATCAGACACATGCACATAAACAGCTAATAAATAAAATAGAAAATTAATGTAACTTGCATTGAAAATGTACTATGTAAATTTAAGTCAATTTTAGTCCAGGACCTTTTGGTAAGGATGATAATTGTGTGACTAATCTAAGTAGACAAGCCAAAAAATGGACAGTGGTTGCAAATTAAACTTAGTTACACAATGTATAAATCATCTGTATAATATTGTTTTTGTAACTTGTGACAAGGTTTTATTATTGTGTCTGACAAATTATAATTAACTTACAATTCAAGATATTTGTCACTTCAAGTGTTGGTACAAAAGTGTGCATCGTTTGTGGCTAGGCGTCATTGAAAATGGAAAATATTAAATAAAAGAGACATAAAAATACTAAAATTACTGATACCTTAAATTACCAATACCTTAAGGGGAAATAATGTACGTTTCCTTATATTTTGCAAACCCGGATTATATTGTAAACATTGTGTAAAATAGTTTTAAAAAATGCCCTTGATTGTTTACAACATTAAATCATAGACTAATTTATTACACACAGTTACCCTTTTAGGTTTATCAAAGTCAAAGTCAAAGTCAAAGTCAAAGTCAAAGTCAAATAAAATAAAATAAAATAAAATAAGGTAAAATAGATAAAATAAAATAAGGTAAAATAGATAAAATAAAATAAGGTAAAATAGATAAAATAATAATAATAATATAATGATATAAATAATATTTACAGTAATAAATTCTAAATAGTGCAAAAGGTACAAAAAAAAGGTAAAGAAAATAAAATTTAAAGAAAAAGTAACCTTGAAATGTGCAATATAGTATAATATATACTTTGAATTGCCCCCTGGGGACAAATAAAGTTTTTTGAATTGAATTGATACATTCAAACTATGAAAATGTATTTTATATTACAGTGTTACAACTAATATATTATGCCTACCAGATCGTTGTAAGTCGCACTAAACTTTACTACCTGAGGTCAATTTTCTGATTTTTACTACTGTAAAATATTTTAGCCGGTTATCGTCATAATTCCGATATATCTGTCTGCACTTGAATGCAACACAACAGCAGGGTTGGAGGCTCGGTTGGACCGGAGGAGGAGGAGGAGGAGAGGAGGGGGCACTGTTGTCATCCGTCAGGGCTGTGAGTCGAGCTTTTTGTCCAGAAGAAATGGCTGGGATCAAAGGTAAGACATTTCTTCTCCTCGTTACCTTGAAGTCTTTTTTATTCTGTCTCACTTTTAACACATTAAACCCCAAAATATCCCGACGACGTCTGCCGTGTGCAGCTCTGTTTCCCATGGTTACCGTGAAGAAGAAGTTAGCGGATGGGTTAGCACTGTCGTTAGCATTAGCTGAATAGCCTTCATCCCTTTGGCTGGAAGAAGCCGCTACTTAGTCAGCACCATTACGTGAATATAACCTGAAGCTTGTTAACATACTACCCCCATGTAATAAACAGTTAAAGTGTTTTATTAATGTGTAACGCTAGCTGCACCTTGACTTTAGTAATCAGCTGATTCATCACATGGCAGCTGCAGCCATGGGCCCTTCTGCTACGATCAAGAGAATGTGGATGGTTACACACACACGCAATTCTTTAAAATATATATAATTGTGAAAACGTCCTTGCTGATATCTCCCCCCTCTCTCTCTCTCTCTCTCTCTCTCTCTCTCTCTCTGCTTGTCTCACAGCTCTCATTAGCCTTTCCTTTGGAGGGGCCATTGGCCTCATGTTCCTCATGTTAGGATGTGCCCTCCCTGTGTACGAGTAAGTACTACCATCACACAGCGTGTGTGTGTGTGTGTGTGTGTGTCACTCACACACACGCACCTCAGGTGATCCCATCAGAGGTTTTGCAGCTTTTAATACAGGTGTGAAAGCATGTCTGGATTAAGCTGCTCAGAGGAAGTGAAATGATCCTCTGCAGCCCTGATACCAACCTGCTACATCAGAGTAGGGCTGGGCGATATATCGAGTTTTTTAGATATATCGATATATTTTCAAACAAGATATAGGGTAAGACAATCTCGTTAATATGGATATAGTTTATGTTGTATTAAAATAACGTTACAGAGGTGCCAGGTCTCCTTCTTCTCATCTCACTGATGATGACTGACTGTCTGCTCCTCCTCTCTCTCTCTTTTATTGGATTTAAAGAACATTTTTATTTTATAATATTACTTTTTAAATTCACAAACAGTCGTTTATTTTTCCATGTGTTTTCACTGTTAATAAAAGACATCGATATATATCGAGTATCGCCATTCAGCTAAACAATATGGAGATATGAGTTTTGGCCCTACATCAGACACATGTATACCTGAGTGGAGTTACATTATTAAATCAACATGAAATGAAGCATTTCTACAACCGCATATCCTAAAAACGTTGGACATTGTGTAAAATGTAAATAAAAACAGGAAGTGATTATTTTCAAAAGAATGAAACTCTGTATTTGGTTGAAAACAGCACAGTGACAACATAGTGTGTGTATATATATATATATATATATATATATATATATATATATATATATATATATATAGTATCAAATAGTGAATATATATAAATCACTGCACGGGCTCAGGTGTTCGTTTTTCTTCTAAAAACAATTTATTCAATCACAACACCTTCATTTATAGAAAAGAAGCCAGTTATCTCGTTTTTGTCTCCTCATGCCTTTGTACAACGGCGGAGGCTAAGAGGAAGATGATGATGAAGGATGAAGCTTAGAAGAGAAAAAGAGAGAGTGACAGAGCGAGAAGCAGAGTGTACATCCCTGCATATATTATTCACAAGAGATTTAGAGGTGCAGCGTCTTCAGTGTCATCATCGTCTCGTGTTTAGCAGCTTTAGAAAGTCAATCTAACAAAAGTTACATCTCAGATATAAATATACATTTCAACTGATAAAGTATCTACACTCCTGCACTTGAACATAAATATCTTTGATTGCATAGCCACAAATTTGCACAGCTCTGGATAACCCCCTATATCGTTATTACATATTTACCACTGTCATCACTGTTTTTGCAAACTTACATCTCTCACCTCCAGCAAGTATTTTTACATTCAGTTGACAAGCCTGAATAAATGTTGTATTTCATTTTCATTGTTTTAACCAGTAAGAATGTTAAGTTAAATCCTTGATGTATAAATCTATTCTTATTTTTTTACATTTTAAGTGCTTATTTATGTACCTATTCTTATATTGTTTTATTTGCTTTGATAACCTGCTGCTGTAACGCCACAATTTCACAGTTTAGGATCAATAAAGTCATTCTATTCTATATTCTATATAAATAATTAAATTAATGAATCCATCTTACATTGAAACGTTTTCTCTGTCTTTCTCTCGATCTTCAAGTTAGTTTTTATAATTTTGGAATCTTACAAATCTAGCTGAATGAACATGACATGCTGTAACAGTTTGCAAACAACGGGCTGCAGACGCTTGCAGAGAGACATTTGCATCAAATCTAAATCTGGTAATATTACTGAACCAGTCGACATGATTCTCTGGTTTCTCACTGTCGGCTTTTAAACACGTGCACATTGTCTAAAGGGGTAAAAGGACTGTTTCTTTAAAGGGTGGTTATATCTAAAGCAGCGCTTCCCAAAGTGTGGGCCCCGGCTAGTGCCCCCCTGAAATATCACAATAATGATGATTCACCATGAGTCAAGGCGTGTTATGACTATTCATGGACATATTGTTTAGTAAACTTTTGTGTCTTTCTTACCATAATATCATTTTGTCATGTCCGATAAATGACCCTAAATGAAAGTTATAGATGTAGTCATAACTTTTATTTTATAACAGACCCCGGAGTCATTTTGTATTTCAAAGTGGGCCGCGGCAGTTCTTAAGTTTGGGAAAGGCTGCTATAGAGGTTAGTGTTTATCAGTTTCTTTAGCATTAGTGTCGCCCTTTGAATTATTAGTCTCTCAAAATATTCTTTAGGACAGCATCATTTCACAGCAACATGTGTGTTTACCCCTTCTTCTCTCTGCAGTAAATACTGGCCTTTGTTCCTCCTCTTCTTCTACATCCTATCTCCCATCCCGTACTGCATCTCACGGAGGGTGGCTGACGACACAGACTCCGCAAGTAACGCCTGCAAAGAGCTGGCCATCTTCCTCACGACGGGCATCGTCATCTCAGCCTTTGGCCTGCCCATTGTCTTTGCAAGAGCTGAAGTCGTGAGTAGCAGGAGCAGTCTTTACAGATTACACCACATGTTTGAGAACAATCCACCCCGGCACCCTTTGAAAACTTGGAAGTTAACCTTCTCTGTTACTGTCATATATATAGAGATCAAACCATATGACTTATTTTTCTAGGCCAACCAGGAAGTAGCATCTCCATGGGGTCTAATCCTCCTCTGGGATGTTTTCATTGGATTTTGGATCATTAATAAATAATCTCTGTGTTAAACACACGTTTCTGAAGCGTAGGCGTTTTGTTCAGCAGGATCATCTTCACAGATGAACGCCATTTTTATGATGTTTGAAGAGTTAATGCGGCCAACAGAAGTAAAAAGCTAACGTTATGCTACAAGCTAACTACACCACGGTGGGATGATTGTGATGTCACTAGCGTTATGCTTCAGACGATCTCCGATAAACTAATCCACGTAGTTTAATAAATAGTTTACTAACATAATATTCACCTGAACCTAAAGATTAAACCTACAGGAGACATCTCCGACTAGTGAGAGAGTTCCCGCCCTCTGTGTCCGGCGTGATGACCTTTAATGTCCCCGACAACCACTGTAGTCACATTTAGCCGCTTGTTAGCAACCGCCTTTTTAAAGACGAGTAAAAACTTCAAACTTCACAAGTGGAGGTATTACCTAACGTAGTTTATGTGCTCTAACAAAACACCAACATCTCTTCAGCTTGTGTTAACCACAGACCTTATTTCAGGAGTCTAACCACAAACACATTCAAATCCCCGTTGACTTTTAGACGTTAGACCCATGGCTCAAATGCTAACTTACTTCCTGGTTTTAGGCCTCCTTCCTGTGGCGCTCTATTCTTAACCCATTAAAGCAATGCTCAACACTTTATGCTTTTTGAAAATGACCAACCATGCCTTTAAGTGACCTCAGGCTGGGAACCCTGGGGGGCCACCAGCTGGGCTCCCCTCAAAAGATGCCACCAGGCCTAAAAAAAACCCTTCTGTACAAACTCTGTATAACATTTCTGTGGAAACTATATTTTTTTAAAGAATTTATATGACCCAAAGCTCTATATTTGTTAGAATTTTGTCAATTCTTTTTTTTTTTTTGGCTTTTTGTGCCTTTATTTGAGAGATAAGTGGATAGAGTCAGAAATGGGAGAGAGAGAGAGACATGCAGGAGCTACAGGTCGGATTTGAACCTGGGCCGCCCGCTTGGAAGACTAAAGCTTCCTTACTGCGCCACCAGCGCCCCCAGAACTTTGTCAATTCTTACACCAGTAGACATCAAAGTTTGGATCTGAGAGCCACAGACGGTGTAGGGCAGTGAGAAAGGTTTTGGTCTTTCCCTGAGATACGCTGACAATAATGTACTTTTAAAACATTTCCTTCTTTGATCAAAATGTTAATTTAGGTTATAGATGTTTATATGACATCAAACTGCCACACAAGTTATCTCATGAAACCTGCATTTCGAGCAGATTCAGATCATGCTCTTCTATATTTCTTCATGTCCCGGGCAAGCATTTTGGAGACATGAAAGCATGTAGGTGGAGAGGGAGAGAGTAGGAGAGAGGAGCTCAGTGAATTATGGTGAGGCCCCCGGATAGTCTCCGTTTACAGCAGCTGGTTCAAGCTAGCCTGCGGCAGCTCTAGCTATAACCTTTATCTAAAAGCAACATTTAAATCTGTAATGTGTGTAGAGAGGAATCTGAACCCAAACTAGGAGAGGAGCCTTCTTCACCTATAACTGAAAGCTCTGCCTCCCATACTACTTTTGAAAACTCAGCAGTTAAGCCTCCATTATGTAAGTGCAATACTGTGTGCTCGGGTTAATACCAATTATATTGTCTTAAAGCTTACATATGGAGAAGGTAAAGACCCCGGGCAAACCATTTGAGACGTGACAGCCTATAGCAGCATAACCAGAGCGCGTTCAAGGCAGCTCTAGCTACAGCTTTTAAAGCTTGATCTAAACATTTTAAGTCAATTCATAAAAGTACAGAAGGACCTGGACCCAAACTAGAAAATGAGAAAGGGCCCAATCATAAAAGGGTCTGCCTCCCATGATACTTTTTGAACCCCCCCTAGGGTTCAGCCTGTTTAATGGAAGTGCAATGTTGTTGGGCAATAGTGAACTATGTCTTCATAAACTTATAATGGGACCATTTGTATGTGAGAAGTGGGACATTTCTTTATTTTGGATTTAACAGTGAGCCAAACCTGAAGAAAGTGCTAATATATGCTAATATGGCAGACTAAATAGCCCTATAACCCTAACCCATTGCATTTAAAGAGACACACACACCAAAACGGAGCGTTCTGAGAGAGCTGGTTTATACAGGGTCACAAACCTCCTCTGGTGCTTGATTCATGTTATATTTTGACCAAAGCACAGCACAGATGTTTCAGTCACTGTTTGAAAAGGTGAAGAAGGGGAATAATATGTGCTCTGCTTTTAAAATGATGTTTGGCTACAGAGCAGTGAAGCTAACAGCTGACTGAGACTGGCTGCAGAGTGTGGAAGTGATTCTGTAGTAAACTGTTGCCGCTGACACCCCCACACTTGCTTCTGGCCTAAATATGCTCTGCAGCCTGGCAGCGTGCGGCAGCATTTGTTTAACTGAATGATTAATGTGTTTGGTTTACAGATCGCCTGGGGGGCGTGTGCACTCGTGCTAACGGGTAACGTAGTGATCTTCGCGACCATCCTGGGCTTCTTCCTGGTCTTTGGATCCAACGATGACTTCAGTTGGCAGCAGTGGTAATCAGCAGGGGGAGGGGGGGGGGGACCTTAGTCTGAACTGTTTTTATTAGCATTACGGTTATTATTATGGTATTACTGTTTGGTTCTTGTTGTTGTTATTTATATGATGACTACCCATCCATAGACTCACACCAAACCAGTGCAATACTTTATTTTTCTCTTGTTTTTTTTATTCGACCGCCTGCATCATCCTGAACTGACACAAAGTGGGGTGGAAAATGCTGACTTAAAGTTGGATTTTAACTCATTTTAGTTAAGCTGTCTTAACTTCTGTGTTTGTGAGTTTTTCTCCATGTGTGTGTCTCCGCTGATTTGACTGCTTGTGAAAAAAAAAGAATCCAACTGAAAATCCAAATAGGACTTAATCTGACAGGGTCAAGTTCTGGGGATGTGCGTAAATCAGCAAAACAAACTGTTGGCAGATCTGCACACAACAAGCTCAGCTTTCACCTGACACTGGTCTTATTGATTGAATCTGTGTCTATTTTTGGTTTTGTCACAGTGGCAGGTGAAAAGTCAGCTGAAGGTAATGCAGATTTTCAGTGGGTTCATCTCCATCCATAAGCAGTGAGTCTAGAAGAATTAGCCACCAACCCTCAGGTCTTTTGAAGCCTGTTACATATTTAAGTTTATTTATTTTCCAGTGTCTGTTTGTGACTTTTACTTTCAATAAGTGTTTATTTTTAATTTCTTATGTCACACATGATGAGAAGACACATGGAGGAAATGTCTACAGACCTCCTTACCATCACTACACACATCAAATTAAAATGACTTGCTGAGTTCCCAGGTGCCAACTGGATGCAGGCTGCTTGATCGCCATGTTCTTTTGCACATGATAGCTCTTACCTCACTCTTAGTATGGGTAGGCTTTACCTTCAAGAAAGCATGAATAGCACACGGTGGCTGCCAGCTAGCATAGGATTAGCTTAAGGAGGGCAGACTCATGTGAAAGTCAGCCAAGATAAGAACTGGGCCGCTTCTAATCAAGTCCTGGTCAGTCACTTATAGCCCTTAAGCTTTTAAATGTGACCCCTTCAAAATAAAAGCACCCAGCTGCATTAAGGTTGTTTTTCTCTCTAGAAGCACATTATGGCGTCATGTTTCCTCACACCAGCATTTTCATGATGAAAGCGCAGATCTGTTTTTGTTTTTTAGTTTTTTTAGTGTTGTGTATTCTCTGGTCTGTGGGAAGGAAAGTCGTCCGTTGGTTTGTTTAATCTGTCGGCAGCTTTGGGATCAGCGCAGCCTGCAGTCTCTCCTCTTTGCTGTTTAACTGCAGCAGTGGAAGCTAAACAAGCTAACTAGCATCTGCTGCCTCACTAAAGCACTGGTGTGTTGAACGTTTGTGCTCTCTGAAATATTAAGAAATGTTTTGTAATGACACTGAAGTATTATAATTAACTAAATAATAAGCTCCTCCCCCCCATTAATCCTAAAGTAAATCAATAATATCCACTATTTGTCTTTTTTCAGAAGTCCTCTTGTCTGACAATTCTGAAAAGAATTTAAAGGAATTAGTTCAACTAAAGTCGGATTGAAATTAGCCTAGCTTAGCATTAAGACTGGAAGCAGGAGTAAGCGGCTAGCCGGTGAGAGTTCAATAAACCGCCTACAAACAAACACGTCTTAAGCTCATTATTGAAATCAACAAATACATTGATTAAGAAAGAATAATGGATTGACTCTGCCGACAAAAGGATTTCATATTTTCTCTGTGTAGGAGTTTCACAAACAACAAACTCCAGTTGTCACGATACCAGAGTTTTAAACTTTGTTATGAGTCTAGCAAAATGGAATTATATATTTCCTGAACCTGTTTGGATACCAAAACGTTGCAGGCCAACTCCTACACGCTCTCTACATTTGAAAAAATACATTGGCAACATTTTGGCACCGAAACATTACGAGAATGCAATTTAGACTGTTTTCTCTCTGCAGCTCTTTTAAATCTTTGGTACTTTTTTAATGTATTCAATCGAAATAAAAGACATCAATCAATCATTGAAATAACGGCCATTATACCGTTTAAGATGAGAGACCTAAACCACAGTGTTTGGGGTTCTCTGATTGGTTCTAATGTTGTTCGTATGTCAAAGCACTTTGTGCACCTGTGTTGTTTTTAAAGGTTCTATAAAAGTTATTATTAAAACACACAGTATCTTCAAAGTAATGGAGAAACTTGAGAGATGTTGACAGACGTCTGTTTACTCCTGCTTCCAGTTTTTTAACCTTAACTAATAACCATCCAGCAACGAACGACATGAAACATCTATTTTCTTAATATCTACTGGATAGAAGTGAAAATGACTGTGTTTGATCAAAATGTCCGACTCACACTGCAAATAACATTTATTTTAGTTTTCTCTTTAACCCTCATGTATCACTATGGACATCTTTGTCCATTTGGTCAAATGTTTCCTCTTCATCTGCTCATCATTTTGTCTGTGTCAGTGCATATGACACACATTTTTTTGTAAGAAAGTTCTCTTGACACATTTTGGAATGCATGTTTTTTTTTTTAATAGATCACTGTGAAACATGTTTACTACCCTCTTAAGTCCCTAAGGACAAAAATGTCCACTTCTAAAAAACTGATATAAAAATAGAACAGATTAATATTTTTTTCTACTTTTTTCTTAAACAACTTCAGCCCTGCTCAAAACTACCAAACATTCAATCATTTAGGAATTTAACCCTTTAAATGCCAGTTTGATTATTTGATGTCACTGTTGTTATTTAAGAAAAAAACACAAAAATGAGTTATTTTCCATATTACAAATATTTGGTGGCTGGGGGATTTTTTTTTTTTTTAATCAGTCTTGGATATGTCAAAGATTATCCAAAATATTGACTTTGATGCATTGTTAGTTTTTGTGTAGCATCAGATTTAAAATGTAGTTCCCTGTTTGGACAGTGGAGGGCGGAAATGTCCAATTTACAAAAACTGATATAAAAATAGAACAGATTAATATTTTTTTCTACCAGAATCAAGTAATCAAACTGGCATTTAAAGGGTTAAATTCCTTTTAATTATTCAATATTTGATATTTTTGAGCAGGGCTGAAGTTGTTTAAGAGATTTATGCAGAAAAAAGTAGAAAAAAATATCAATCTGTTGTATTTTTATATCAGTTTTTTGTAAGTGGACATTTTTGTCCTTAGTGACTTAAGAGGGTTGTAAATTAAACTGATGCCTGAGGGTCAAACAACCAAAAGGTATTCTTTTTTTTGTTCTCTAACAAACCAGAAAATATTCACCTTTGAGAAGCTGAATCTGAATTTTTGACATTTCTTTCTTAAAAAGATTCCTCGACTGATCGTTAGAACTCTGTCAGACCATTTTGTTTCATCTCATAAATTAACAACAAGTTATGGAGAAGTAAAAAAACACTTAATTATATTGAACAGATTGTTACTAGTTATTGTTCTTATGTTCATTATAATGTCTGAAAAAAATCTGCTGTAAGAAATGCATTGATGAAAGTCTGGGACGTCGGGCTTTTAGCACTAAACAGAAGCATGCTGCTGTGATATTTTTGAGCTCTATTGTCTGTGATTTCTTTCAGAGACCTCGAGAGGTTTTGATTGTACTAAAAACACAACAACAACAACAACGGCAGCTTTTTGCTTTCCTTTAAAAAACAAATACTAAGTTATGAAATATTGAATACTACTGACTGCATATTATTGTGTAACACCTCTTTGAATCTGACTCTTAATAGTAAACTCACATCCTCTGGTTGTAGTCTGCAGACCGGTCTGTGATTGGACGAGCAGGGTAACTCCTCATATTTCACTTTGCTGCATTTTGAGCCCAGTTTGTCAAATGTTCTCTTCTCTCTCTGTTCTGTGTGACAGACTCTGGTGTGTATCTGTGGGATTTCTCTGTTTTTTGTTGTAAGACAAGATGTTACGCTTTTTTTGTTTCTCACACGTTTTTGGGAGGAAGTTGTATTTATTTATTTTGAATTGGACGCTTTGTGTCGACGTCCAATGTCATTTTCTATCTACAAGGTTTGTGTTAACGAGGCAGAAGTCAGCACGGTGGATTTCCTTTTCTTTCTTTTTTTATTATTAAAAGCCATTTTTGAACATCCTCTTCTTTGAATGACTACACGTGCATCACACGGGCTCACTGATTGGACGAGACCTCACTCAGGACGTCAGCTGATAACATGACTTGATCTTGTTGGTGATATTCACTCAGCGTCTTCAGACTGCTTTTAGCCGATCAGATGTATGAGTGTTTATTAATTCATCTATCAAACTATAACTCCTCCTGTTGGCACCATAGACAGATGAAAGAATGATGATAAATAAAATACATTTAATATTAAAAACATCAACTCAAGAAGTTACAGCCTTAAATCCTACAGAGTGATGTAGATATCAACATGACACTTTGTAATCTCTGTGTTTGTGTAGATAAGGGTAATCATTCAAACCTACTTCATGTTGACATGCTACATCGGGTTTTATAATGTCATTAAAAAAATGAAGAACACCCCCACCCCAAACACACACAAGTGATCTGAATGTATAATATTCATTAAAACAGAACAAACTAAAAAAAGGGATTCTTTCAGCATTATCAAGTTGACTCCCAGAATTGAATGGAAGGAGTCACACAATGGCCCAAAGAAAATAATATAAAATAAAATAAAACACAACTGAGATAAAACAAAAAGCACAGAAAGCCAACTGATGGTGTCGACTCTCTGGAGACACACAACCAGCTGATCAGTGAAACGTCCTCCAGCCCAGCTGACTGTCATCACAGGAGCAGCCAGTAGCTCCTGACCTAGTTTCCTAGAGGGAATCTATCCATAACACGTCACAACTGAAAACAGAACTCTGTTTTATGACAGTTTAAAGTCTCTCCAACTCCTCTTTAATGAGTGTAGATTTGTCATATATAACTGCTGTTACCACGGCAACGAAACTAAAATGTTGTTGGGGTTGAAACTACAATTTTAATGAACTAGTTAAAAAAAAGCATAAATTAATACAAATATTTGCTGCTAAGAACAAAGAGATGAGGTTGTTTTAACAGGATACAAACAGAACTTTTAATCCTTTATTAAATCCATTATAGATTGTTTTAAGAGAATATATTGTGCTTTGTCTCCCTCTGCTGGCAGAATCATTGACAGTGAGGTCATTATGAACTACTGTATCACCTTTTAGGAGAGAAGAGAGTTAAAAGTGTCATTTAAACATATTTAAACATATTTAATACCAACGACTTCACTATGAGCAGTAAGAAGATTTAGAAAATAACCACTTTTATTCTCTTCAACACAAACTTTAACTGGTGGTTATGAACCTTAATATGTAGGTTTATTAATACAAGAGGAGCTCAACAATACTACACTAATTACCATTTTAATCTAAAGGAAAATAAAGACAGGTCTGGGATACATTGGGATCCTCCTTGAAGAATAATTTCCTTGAACCAGTGAAGTCTAAACCTCATAACTATTGAACACATATTTTGGAACTGTAATAATAACAAAGAAACTCTGGCTTTGAGATAAATGTTGTGAAAACGAGATCTGCACACCTAGAAGCTCCTGTTTGAAAGATTTTATTAAGTGATGTTTCGAGACAAGATGATCTTCCTCAGATTTGAGGAAGCACCCACTGAGGGATAAAAGTTGAAAAAACAGTGCTGTGGTGAAGACGATCCTAAGCTTCATGAATCAGACCTCTTTAAATGGATGAGTCTCAATCTCTCTGCAGACAGAATATTCTACAAACACATGAACACAACAACACAGTGCAGAGAAAACATCAGTTATTCAATACCGATAGTATTTTTCCTATGTTATATAATCCTATAAAATAAAAGCTCTAACCCGAGGCTGCTGCCGTAAAGACGCCCACCTTCTAGATGTAACACGCCCGACTTCCCTCAGCTCTCTCTCTCCTGCAGATCTCGTCGCCTCAGGGAGGAATTTAACAACAACATTTAGGGTCAGATCAAAACTTTTCATTTGTGCACAAAACAAGTCATAGTTTTCCTATTGATCCTAGCACGGAGCCAAAAGACATCAGGCCTTGACAAACACACACACACACACACACACAACACACACACACACATCACACACACACACACTCACACACAACACACACACACACACACACACACACACACACACACTCACTCACACACACACACACACACACACACACACACACTCACACACACACACACTCACACACACACACACTCACACACTCACACACACACACACACACACACACACACACACACACACACACACACACACACACACACACACACACACACACACACACACACACACACACACACTCACACACACACACACACTCACACACCTGCAGCAGGCCTCGCCTCTGTTGTGAAAACAGCAGCTTGGTTTAATGCTTAAACTTGCCCTCAGATACAGACTGTGCTTCATGCTCAGCAGGAGTCAGATACTGCAGAAAAACCTGCACGCTGTATTTCTGATCGCATTGGGGACGCCCCCCGCCACCCCCCCCCCCCCCCCCCCCCGCCGAGCCCTGAGGATCCTGGGAAGTTGGGAAGGAATCTTTAGATTGAATGAAGAGAGAGGTTCAGACGCACACGAGCATGAGGAGGTTTTTCCAGGTGCACAGGGACGAGGACCACGGTCAGATCCAGTACCTGACGGCCAAGTGCACCCGGCTGGCTCATGATAAAGGTAAGACCTGGAGGACGAGACTTTGACCTCTGAGGACTCAGTTACACATTTACATTCTTCAGCGGTTCCTGGACTTCAATGGATGTTCAAGTTGGGTGTTAACTGTCGTTCTTTATTTTTTATCTGTCATGTTTTCTCTTCTACTTTGAAATGTTTTTTCAGTTATGCTCAAGTCATCTCTATATGAGTCACAGGAGCATATAGAATAGAATAGAATAGAATAGAATAGAATAGAATAGAATGACTTTATTGATCCCAAACTGTGAAATTGTGGTGTTACAGCAGCAGGTTATCAGAGCAAATAAAACAATATAAGAATAGAGACATAGTAAATAAGAAGAGATTTATACATCAAGGATTTAACTTACCATTCTTACTGGTTAAAACAATGAAAATTAAATACAGCATTTATTCAGGCTTGTCAATATTTACTTGTCAGTAAAGATACTGTGCAATATAACACTCATAGTACTGTGGTGTAATAAACTTCTTACAATAGAATACTTTATTGTCCCCCAGGGGGGAAATTTGTTCTCACAGCAAAATTGTTACTATTTTCATTTTTTAGAATTCCTTTAAAAGAATTGTAAGTATTTTACAGTTATTTTAAAAAGTGATTTTATATCTTAAAGTGATAAAGTTATTCCTTAATCCTGCCTTGTTTATTATTCTATGACCTGCCTGTATTTGTATTTGCTGTCCTTTGTAACTTGTTTTTGAAAAGTGCTCTATAAATAAAGATCATTATTATTATTATTAT